GCCGATGCCTCCGTCGCCTGGCTGGAGTGGCCGCGGGGGAGTCTGGAGTCGGGCGGCCGCTGGTGGGAGCCGCGGGTGCCCGGGCCGAGATTGGGGGGGCAAGGCGGGCGACAGAAGGCCGATGCCTCCGTCGCCCGGCCCTCTACAGAATCCACCCCCCAAACCTCCAGGTATTTCCCTCCTTAGAGCTGGCAACCCTACATTCCCCTCAGTGCCTGTTGGTAGGCAACTAAGCTTGGTCCTGTCACCTACTTTGGCCTTTGGGAGAAAACACATTGGGGCCAGTCCTGATAGGGTTGCCAACTCCAGATGGGAAATTCCTGGAGATTTGAGGGATGGAGCCTGAAGAGGGTGAGGTTTGAGGAGGGGTGGGACCTCAGACAGGTACACTGCCATAGACTCCACCCTCCAAACCAGTCAGTCTCACATAGGGAACCATTGTTGCCAATCTCCAGGTGAGGGCTGGAGAGCACTCAGTATTACAACTGCTCTGCAGAAGGGAGGGCAGAAGTCAGCTGAAGTCAAAGGGGCAGATAATGGTAGGTTGGTGGCTAGCTGGGAAGGAGATGGGGTTGCCAACTACATGCTGACAAATTCCTGGGGATTTGAGGGGTGGAGCCTGGAGAGGGTGGGGTTTGCAGAGGGGTGGGACCTCAGACAGGTAGAATGCCATAGACTCCACCCTCCAAACCAGCCATTTTGTCCTGGGTAACAATTGTTGCCAATCTCCAGGTGAGGGCTACAGATTACTCACAATTACAACTGCTCTTCAGGTAGCAGAGATCAGTTCCTCTGGAGAAAACAGTGGACTCTGTCATTATACCCTGCTGAGGTCACCACAGCAAATTGACACTGTTTGCCCAAAGCCAGAGCACTGCCCCAGAGCCTCTTTCTAGATCCCGTTGTATTGCTTTCACAACGGGCTTTACTGCTAGTAAGAACATAAGAACATAAGAGATGCCAATGTTGGATCAGGCCAAAGGCCCATCCAGTCCAACACTCTGTATCCCACAGTGGCCAGAAATACCAGGTGCCATCAGGAGGTCCACCAGTGGGGCCAGGACATCAGAAGCCCTCCCACTGTTGACCCCCCAAAGCACCAAGATGACAGAGCTGAGGTAGAAATACTGGTGCCACTGTGGGTGGTCTTGTCCCTGCAGCCACAGCCCAAAGTTATGCCCGTGCATACAGAGAAGGTGAGTAAAAAGAGCTACAATCATACACGCACACATACACTCCCTCCTTCCCATGGACCTTAACATAGCTTTTTTGGGTACTGATATGAATTAGTTCAATGTATTAGTTCAAATCTATTTAACTGCTGCATGGTTAGAAACAACCTGTAGATGGAAGAATTCTCAAGACAGAATGCTGGAAAATAGGGACCATCACTGACATGATTAAATGAAGAAGAGAAGAGATTGGATTTATACCCCACCCTTCACTACCTGAAGGAGCCTCAGAGCTGCTTACAATCTCCTTTCCCTTCCCCTCCCCACAACAGAACCCTGTGAGGTAGGTGGGGCTGAGAGAGCTCTTACGAGAACTGCTCTTTCAAGAACAGCTCTGATAGAACTATGGCTTGCCCAAGGTCATCCAGCAGCTGCAAGTGGAGGCATGGGGAATCAAACCCCGTTCTCCCAGATTAGAGTCCGCGCACTTAACCACTACACCCAACTGGCTGAAGGGCCAATTTATGAAGAGCCAACTTATGGAGGGCCAACTTATATTGCTGTATGCTTGCCCCAGGACTGATCGCTTTGAACAGACCCATCATGGAGGGTCTTTCCTAAGATGATGCCAGGTGGGAGCCAGAGGTTTAATGCAAGGGTCTTGCTGCTCTTTCAGTGGCTGTGGATGATTCTCAAATGAGTCACTCAGCTGCAGGGATGGCACAGAGACCAGGACTGAGGGGGAGCTGGGGGAGGGGGGAGCAGTCTTCTGCCGGAAATAGAAAAGCTGGCTTTGCTTCCACCTAGGCTTAGATTGTAAAAAGTTGTTTTTTTTTAATTAGTTTCTCAGTCTCATCCAAAGAAACTGCACAGAATCACATTGCCCTAGATCTCTCACAATTCGGGAAAGTGTTGTAGATACAACAATATATTCAGCAAAACCAGCTTGTCCCACTTCAAGCTGCAGTTGAGGGACTGCACATTTGCATCTCCCTTGAAGAATAATCCCTGCAGTTAGA